ATTTATGTAAATTAGGAACAAAAGGGGTCCTAAAAGCAGAGCACCAGCCTCCCGCTCTTCTGCCTTGTCCTCAATCTACCATCTTCCGAAGGCACCCCCCCAGCTCACTAATCCATCTGCTTTATTCCTTCCTGTCTCTGCCTTGTGATAACATAGATGTGGTTTTATTTAACTTCCCTGAACACGGAAGAACAAGTTTTACTTAATCTGAGACATAGGTACACCACACTGCGTCAGCTCCTTGCACCTTTACCATACATCTATTATACGCACCTCACTGGGAGATACCAAGGTGACCTGAAGCGGGGGAGCCCAGGTCAGGAGGGATATTTCAGCCGCACATCAGTAACCCTACATGATGTCTCACTTCATTGCCCCTCCCTTTCCTGGATAAAACGTGTAGAATCTAACATTGAACATGTTAGCATTACAAATTGTTTATGATTTTGATTTGGGCAACAGCCTCTGAGTGGATGTTCTTTGTTCACATCATTCGCTGAACTCCAGAAACTGTAATACATTAAAATCCCAGAAGAGTGGCTCAGATGCCGAATCCAGTACCTCTGATATCAAAAAACACCTAGATCACAGGTCTTAGCCGTTCTAATGCTTTTGAACCTCCTGGTGTGACAGAATCTTTCACTTCTGCAGATGTTTCTGCAGTGGTCAGTGGCCTGTGGAGGACAGGCTGCAGGTAGATCTGTCCAGAGACACTGGAAACACTGGATGTTGCTGGGGTGACATGGATGATATGGCCCCCAGCTATAGGGGTCCACACTTCTCAGCCTGCCTGGGAAAGTTCATGCCAGGGTAGAGGGGAGGAGCCTCAGTGACGCAGATTCTGGCCTGGCAGTGGAACAGTGCATGGCACAGTTCTCCCAAGGGATAATGGGAATATGGAAGAAGGGTCTGTGTTTGCTTTGTGGACATGCGGTCTATGGTGGTGAAGCTGAGTGAAGTCATCAGATGACACATGGGATTCTGGGGATTCTACTCTGATGAGCCAGAACATCACTGTCGTGATGCATTACTGCCATAACCATCATTAAAATCACGTGTGATTTGTGCCACAGTAGCTCTTCTGTTAGTTCGTACCAGACAGGACAGTCTTTGTTCATGTCTGGTATTGGTAAGTCTTGGCCGCCCGATACTCTTGGTGGTTCATGATCTTTCCCTCCCCAGATTACTCTCTATAGGTTCTCCCCACAGCTGACCACGAGCACCCACAAAGCCTGCCATTTCGAAGATGCCCTCACTCAGTCATCTAACCATAACGATTCGGCTCATATCAAAATCACTCGAGTCTTTAACCCCATCCATTTCTTCAGCTTTTAACATGTTGACTACAAATACTGATTGTTACCATGCAATATATCATTGACATTAACATGCCTAATTTCTAAACAGTTATTTGATTCATAAATGAGGGGTTGCAATGTTTTAGTTCATCAGTGCATATCCCTGTCCTCACCTACAGTTATGAGCTGCGACCAAAAGAGTTTTATTTCCCAGTGGCTGAAGTGCCAATCCTGCCACCAACCCCCAAATTTTCCCTGTAAGTTGGAGGACCTGCTTATAGGGCTGGATGTAGATTAACACCATACCCAGGATGAAGCAGTGGCAGGTTAGGGGCCTTGCTCAAGTGCCCAACAGAGTAGGATCACTCCTGGCATTCACAGGATTCAAACCAGCAACCTTCCGACTGCTGGCATAGAGCCCTAGCCTCAGCGCCACCACTCCCCCTACATGATAAGGTGAAGAGTCCAGAAACCAGAGGTCCCTCAGAATAGAACGACTACTCCTTTGGATCAGCAGTAGCCAGCTGAGACGTTTGGGCATTAAATAAGGAAGCCACCTGGTCATCACCCAAGGGAGATGTTCCAGACATCTTCCACTTGGCGGAGACCCACAACATGCTGGAGACACTGTATTCCCAGCTGGTTTAGGAACCTCTGGGGATCCCCCAGAATGAACGAGAATCCAAAGCGACATGAAGAAGATAAAGAGGACATTAGCCAATAAAATCAAGCAAAAATTAATTACAGTCTTCAAATATAAGGACCACAAACTTAAGCGACCCAGAGAGCAGTGCCAAGCAATTCTGTTTTAATTGGAAACACACCAAGTTTCTCCAAAAGGAACCTGATTTAACATGATTTTCTGAAGATATCTGTCATGGTGCTCCATGTGTCTCTTTTTTGGAACTCACAGGTCAACTCCAGGGCAGCTTCATCATCATAGCCATGATGCTATCGCCATGGTAACCCTCGACGTCTCCAGATCTCTCGTTTTCTGAAGGACGCTTGGCCGGTGCCTCAGAAGTCCTATCTCTGGCCAGGAAACCAGTTCCATGCATATCTCAGAAAATATTTTTGATGTGTTGTCCTTATACAATAAACCACGAGGACCCAGAAACGTTCTACAGGAGCTTCTAGTGGAACGAGGGATTTACAGAACAGTGTCAAGCAAACTGAAAAAAATTAGAAAGACAAGCCATGTTTTTTTGTCATGAAAATTTTATGGAATAAAACATTTGTACCCAAGTGTAAACAGCAGCTGTCTGAGATCTCCCACGAAAAGAGGGGCAACTTCACAGATACCCAGGTATGTTTCAGGGCTGAAATCTTCAGCAGATTGAGTTTCCCCACAGCTTCTTTCCTTTGATTGACGACTCCTTCAGTATAATATTACATGATAATATTACATCTACAGACATAAAACATCACTGATGTCCGTCTGTCGTGTGCAGCCTCTGGTGCTCTTCCAAGTTCTCTGGTTCGCTGAAGTTCATGTCACATTCGAAACAGGTGTGATTCTTCTTGCCCAAATGAAGGCGCTTTGCGTGTTTCTTCAGATTTCCCAGCCGGCTGAAGCTCTTCCCGCACTCTCCGCAGGAGTGCGACGCTCCCCCAGTGTGGATCCGCTGGTGCTCCTTCAAGCTTCCAAACTGGCTGAAGCAGCGTCCACACTCCGCACAAGAGTATGGTTTCTCCCCTGTGTGAATTCGCAGATGCTCCTTCAGGTTTCCCCTTTGACCGAAGCACTTTCCACATTCAGGACAGGAGAACGGTTTCTCCCCTGTGTGAATTCGCAGATGCTCCTTCAGGTTTCCCCTTTGACCGAAGCACTTTCCACATTCAGGACAGGAGAACGGTTTCTCTCCTGTGTGAATTTTCTGATGCTCCTTTAGGCCACTTAATTGTCCAAAACTTTTTCCACACTGAGTACAAAGATATGGTTTCTCTCCAGTGTGAATTCTGAGGTGTTTTTTAAGGTCTCCTTCTGTATTAAATCTCTTATCACACTGTGTGCAGCAGCACGGTCTCTCCCCGGTATGAATACGCTGGTGTTCTTTCAGGTTCCCTAATCGAGAAAAGCCCCTTCCACACTCCGTGCAAAAGCACGATTTTTCTCCAGTGTGGATTCGCTGATGCTCTTTCAGACTATGTGAACGCTTAAAAGTCTTCCCGCAGTCCATACAAGAATGTGGTTTCTCTCTTGTGTGAACTTGCTGATGTTTTTTCAGATTTTTCATACAAGAGAAAGTCTTTCCACACTCACTGCAAGAGTGTGGCTTTGCTCCCGTGTGATTTCTCAGATGTTTGCTCAGGGTCTGCAAGTGAAAGAATGGTTTCCCGCATTCGGCACATGCATACGGTCTCTGCCCTAAATGCATTTTCTCATGCGCCTGCATGTACTCTCTTTTACTGAAACTCTTTTTGCAATGTAGACATGGCCACCTCTTTCGCAGCATGTCATGTTCACTCGCTGCCTTGATCTGAACCTGAACCTGAGGATGAGTTTCACCCTCTAAGGTGCTGAGCGAGTCTCCAACATTGTCGCTGGGTTCACAAACACACGCTTCTGCCTTCTTACAGTCAAGGTCACTCTCTGTTTTGATCACAATGTCGCCGATTTGCTCATAGGCGACCTCACCAGGTTCACCCGGCTCAGATTTGATTGGGTCTGGATGGACAGGCTCTTCAGCCGTTTGTCCAGTGAGGTGCCCTGACTGGGCAGGGTCCCATCCATGCGTGTTCTCTGCTTTAATCTGACTGCAGTGGAAACTGGGGAAGTTCTCATGCTTTGGTGAGCACAGAGACATGCTGGAATTATTAACAAACATCTCTAGAGACATACGAAGGTGGTTTAGGCTCCTGAGGTGACATGTTCCAACATGAAACAAGACGACGTCTCGGAGCTTCACCACAGCTCAGGCTGCTGGGTCTCGCCCCTCTCCCCTCTTGCCTGGGACTCCGATTCCCGGAGGCAGAAACTGCATCTAGAATCAGAACCAAACTGTCCGCTTCTCCAAATGCATGTTGGGGTCTGTAAAATGAACAACACAAATGATTTCATGCTGCACAGGAAAGGGTAAAATAATACAGTTTAATATAACTGGACATTGATGACATTAACATTTAGCAAATATTTAACATTTGAAATAAGCCATTTACACTAAATTTACACTAAAACAAATGCATAACAATATCTTTTCTTACATTAACTTCAAATCAGGATATGCATAATTTTTGCTATATTATAGATCCAACCCGGCGCAATACGAAAAAAAAATTCAAGGCACAGAAAAGGCTTCTGTATCTGTCTGGCAAAAACATATAACTGACGGTCTGGATAATTACTTCTGGTCTTTAATTAATATTTAAGTATTTGTGTGATAACATATGGTGACATTAGGATAGGCTATTCCGCGGCATGCAAAAACTGACATAAGAAAAACAAAATTGGCATTTAGCCGCTGGTTCTGGATATTGCAGTTGCACAACAGTTTGCGCTCCCTGCTGTCGATAAATACGGCAATGTTTAGAAAATGATTCTCCACAAACTGATGCCTTTAGCTGTTACGGTGCGGAAACGCAGCTGCAGGCATCCTGGATCTGAACGTCTCGCCGATCCGGCTGTTCGGCATCCTTAACGAGTCACGGGTCCGGCCCGTGCTGAAGTGAACTGGGGAAGGGGACTCGCGCCCATGACCAAGCTGCTGCACCGACTCATGAAAGAAAAATAAAATGAAAATGAATTGGACAAAGTTTACCGGGCGGACGTCGCTCTTACTTCCGGGTGGCTCCGGTCCAGCTGTGCCAGGCAGGCTTTCCAGGGCTGATCAGCGACGCTGGAGCTGTGACAGCTGGACGGCTTCCTCCTTGGCGAATGACGTCATGCTGCTGGCCGCTGGATGTTGCACGCAGCGCCCCCTGCTGCTCGACCGCGGAGCCAATGATGAGTTTTATACTATATATAGTATAAATCGTCGCAATAGGACAATAACGAAGAAAAAAAAAATCTTAAATTCTTAATATGATCACACGTATATCGAAAACGGCATGATAACACCTCCATATGAGAAAAATGTCCTTTACTTTGGGGGAGGACAAGATTAAAAAAAAAAGATCGAATATTAACGTGTGTTTATACACCTAAACACTAGTGGGCGTGTGCGTGCAGGAAAGGACGAAGTTATTGTGAGCATTTCATTCTCCTCGCTTCTTTATTCCTCCTTCTTATGTACCGTTGTCGGCGAAGTTCTCTCAGTGTGTTGTTGATATTGAGAAGGGATTGAACTCGATGGTTTTCACATAACTGCATTAAACAAAACAAAACAAAGCAGTCTTTTCATTTTAGTATATATCTGTGTATATCCACACAATCTGTGGGTATAGAATGCTGACCGCATATACTTATGTCAAAAACAAGATTAGGCTTTCTCTGATACTTGATACTAGTTCATTTTTTCTGGGACATGAGCCTTCGCTTTAAGCGTCTGAGCATGGCTGCCTGGTCCGTATAAAGCGTAGCCGTTGGGCATTTAAAGTACCCACATCATTTCCTTAAGGTCGTCTTCATGTGAGCCCTCACAGTCATGTGTGTAAGTACCACTAGGACCTTCCACAGTTTGTGTTCTACTTTTGGTCGATCAAGACCACAAAGTTTTTACAGACTCGCACAGGTATGGCTTCTTCATCAGGGGGAATCTCGCCTGGCACCATCACAGACGTCGGGGGGAATCACCACCTCGCTAGCCATCATCACAGATGTCAGGGGGAGATCACCACCTCACCCGGCGCCATCACAGATGTCGGGGGGAAATCGCCATCTCGCCCACCGTCATCACAGACATTCAGGGGGAACTGTCACCTCGCCCATCATCATCACAGGCATCAAGGGGAATCGTCACCTCGCTCGCCATCATCACAGACATCAAGGGGAAATCGTCACCTTGCCTGCCGTTATCACAGGCATCAGGGGGGAATCACCATGTCACCCAGCGCCATCACAGACATCAGGGGGAATCGTCACCTCGCCCGCCGTCATCACAATAACCAGGGGAATCACTATATTACCACCATCTCACGATCACCGGCTTAAACTAAAGTGACCAATGCACTTATAAATAAATGAAAGCCAGCATTGCTCTGCTAGCAGAGTCGACAGCAACGATACCATTGAACAAACCTCTCTCCAAATCAGCCCAGCTGATCCAATTTGTCCTTAACAAGATAATCAGTCCAATCAGGGCCAGCTGTGTTTTATTAAGCTTGACGGCCAGAGGCACAGAGGCTTGCGATCAGTCACTGGTCACATCGTTATTCTGCTTGACATAAAACACCTTTACTCACCCAGCAGTGAGTCAGCACTGAAGCAGCCACTGCAACATTTATTAAAACATTTTTTACTGAATTCCGCTTACGGTCTCACACTACTCGCCAAACCCAATTATAAGGTTTCATGATTACACTGGTTATAAGAACATAAGAAATTTACAAACGAGGCCATTCGACCCATTAAGTTCGTTTGGGGAGAACTTAACTAATAGCTCAGAGTTGTTAAAATCTTATCTAACTCTGATTTAAAGGAACCCAGGGTTTTAGCTTCCGCTAAACTAGAAGGAAGACTATTCCATACTCTAACTACACGCTGTGTAAAGAAGTGCTTCCTCAAATTCGTTTTAAAATGTTCTCCCGCTAATTTCCACTTATGGCCACAAGTTCTAGTATTTAAACTAATATTGAAATAGCCATTTGGCTGAACAGCATGCAGACCTGTTAGAATCTTACAGTATATACCTGGATCATGTCCCCCCCTTAGTCTCCTTTGCTCGAGGCTAAATAGATTCAGCTCAGCTAACCTCTCCTCATAAGACAAAACTCTACTACACAAATCCATAATTAACAGGCTTGCTACAAAGCAGTTAAGCTTTATACCTTCTTCTCATCATTTTCTATTTGTCTGCATAAATGAGTATGTGAAAGGCAGAACACACACGGATTCCAGTCTGCGGAGGCAGAACACACACGGACCCCAGTCTGCGGAGGGAGAACACACACGGACCCCAGTCTGCGGAGGCAGAACACACACGGACCCCAGTCTGCGGAGGCAGAACGCACA